CAAAAGACCCATAATTCTGACAACCAACGGTAAGCAACTTGTAATGGCACTATATGCAACGAAACATATTGGTTTGCTAAAATCTTGCTTACTCGTAGACCCATTATTTGGAGCAAGACTTAAGGGGCATTTTGACGAAATCCATTTCCGCACTCCTTCACTGGTGAGAACATGCATTTGAACAGTAATCTAAGCATATCACATTCTGATGAAGTAATTCTATATTTTTTTAACTCAGCAAACCATCAGGAGCTATCTGCAGTGTTTGTGTGCGGTGGAGAACATGAAAACTGATCCAGAATACATGGCCTTTCTGCTGTGTCAGAATAAGGGGGACATCAGGCAGAGTATTCTCCAGCTTCAGCTCTGGGTCTGTAGTGGTGGAGGGAGCACAGAACTGCAAATTCTCCAGAACACACTCAAAGTGAGTTGAATTGACATCTGTTGACATTTTAATAATATTTGACTAGATATTTTTTAAGGCACTTCTATACAGCTTAAAATGACATTTAAAGGCTTAACTAGGTTAATTAGGTTAACTAGGCAGGTTTGGGTAATTAGGCAAGTTATTGTATAACGATGGTTTGTTCTGTTGAGTATCCAGAAAAAAACAATTTGCTTAAAGGGGCTAATACGTTTGACATTAAAATGATGCATAAGAAATTAAAAACTGCTTTTATTCTAGCTGAAATATAACAAATAGACTTTTTCCATAAGAAAACAATATCAGACATACTGTGAAAATTTCCTTGTTCTGTTAAACATAATTTGGGAAATATTAAAAAAAAAATCAAAAGGGGGTTAATAATTCTGACTTCAACAGATTTGGCTTCAGCACTGACTAATCTAATGTATATGCACAAATATAATATTGTATAGCCTCCTATTAAAATATGAATTTAAAATATAGATTTGTGAGGCGTGTACTTATATTTCTGGAGTACTGTATATATATATATATATATATATATATATATATACATGTATATTTTAGGGCTGGGCGATTTTTCAGATTTTTTTCGATTAATTCGTATTTACGTTTTAAGACGATTTAATTTTGAATCAAAACGAGAAATCGCGATTTTTAAAAAAAAATATATATATTTAATACATTATAATGGCACCAATGCGCTTGGGTTCACTCTCTGTATGAAGCAGGAAGCACACCAGAAGCGCTTCTCGGCGCCGCGCCGCGCAGCACCACGCAGCGGCATGGATTTTAGAATTTTAAACAGGTTTCTATACACACACCAGCGCCGACCAGCCAAGATTCATGAAGCAGTTCATATTTCAGCCAGCCCACAGAGCGCCATCTGATTAGTTTCATGTTAAATATCATGCGAATGTGCGCGTTTGGTGTGTGATAGTTTAAACTGTCATGTGCGCGCCGTGTCGCGGCGCTTCTGGTGTGTGAAATGCTTGACTGCCTGTTAAAGCGTGAAGTCATGTAGGATTTTACTTGTTGCACCCCTGTGTGGATTGTCAAGACATTCCCTCATCAAGTCGATAAACTCGATCTCAACATGTATGAAGGACGTAAAAGCCTGCCATGTGAAAAACTGCACCGATCTTTTGGTTTGAACACGAGCAGAGGTGAGGGCCTGTAGCAGTGAAAATGAAAGTACCCGCCCCCATGACGCCATTTAGCGGACCTAATTGAAACCAGATCAGGCAGCATAATACAGAGAGTGGAGCAAAGCGCGTCAAATGATCGGTATTTAAAAGGGGGAAAAATTACAATTAATATTAAGTATAATAATATTAAATATATTATTTTATATTAGACACACATCTGGTGCTTTTATTTGGTCCTGCTATACATCCACAACTTCACACATTGGGTTAAATTAGGCTTTACAGTTTCCATGTTCAGTCCTTTACTTCCACTGTCTCTTTTTAAGAAAAATGCAGCAGCCTTACAACCTGTCATTTAATCAGAAGACAAAGTCAAAGCCGAGCTGACAGCCAATCTTTCCTAGGCTCAGCAAAACTTGCAAAAAAAATACCTCTGTATTCCTGCAAGTGCAATATTTACACAAATATTTCTTATTCAAATCTTCAGCAACATTATTTAACTCGTGAATTTGTTTTACATTTATTTACACCTTGACCGATTTTTGTATGACATGGCTATTAAAAATACAATGTTCCTTAACCAGATGGTTTTTCAAGTTACTTGAATGTTACTTCAGTCATGTTGTTGTAATGTTTTGAGAAGACTAGTAGTAACAAAAAAAATCGAAATCGTGAATCGGTCAAACTTTATAAAAAACCTACATTTTTTTTGTTTGCTAAATCGCCCAGCCCTAATATATATATATATATATATATATCTGTGTTAACTGTGGTTGGCCATTATTTCAGTTTTAAATGGATAGACCACCCAAAAATGATTTCCATTATTTACAAACTCAAGTAAATGACATTTTCACAATTACTGTATGCATCTTGTTTGTACGTCATGACATTAACTTGATATCATCAAGCATAAACCGGATGTACTATGACTCAAATCGATTGGTAATAGATATTGATTTACTGGGGTGATGTGGATTTTTGTCTCAGTGACTATGTGTACTTTTCATTTTATCAGCATATCTAAACTTTTTCCAAAAGATAAAAAAAATTGAACACAGTTAGTCTTGTATTTTGACTGATTTAATTTTTTTTCAAATCAAACCAGCAGTCTCCAAGTGTGTTGGTGATGATAATGATATTCAGTTGCAGAGATTCATAAATAAAAATTTATTTGTGCATTCTGTCTTAAACTCAACAGTGTAGATCATGGACTGAGCTGAAAAATAGCAGATGTTTGGAGATCCTGGCAGAGAAAACCGGAGCTGGTCTACTGTACTTTATCATCGGAAGTCTTTTTTCACCCAAATTCTCGTCTCAATCTTTTTATCTGCAAGAGTTTTCAAATCCCAATGCTAAAGGAGAGAAGTCAGAAGGCTTAATGTTACAGACTTCCTCAAATGTACATAAGAGAAAATCAGCCTGCAGGGGAAAAACACACTGGCCAAAAACTATTTCTTACCCATATTCAGTCAAGGCTTCAGATCCCTCGAAGCAAACTAACAAATTGGCTTCTGAACCTCGTGCTCGTGGACAAAACAAATCACTCATATTTCAGCATGTGTTGTGCATTGGAAGTTTTTTCGACAACATGTCTTTTGTGGATGCTTGCTTACAAAAACCATCTCTCAGTAGAACTGAACTTTGTAAAACAGAAGCTCTTGGTTGGATGGGCGCCACACTGAAGGATAGTTTGTTAGACTTGCAAAGAGAAGAGCAAATCAGACAATATTTTGAAAATTCCTCCCAGCTACTGGCTTTTGTGGAAGTTTTGAGTTTCCATCGCTGCCAGACTGAACTCTCTGGAATCTGGACAGAAGCTGCAAGACTGAGAGAGAAGATGTCTTCAGAGAGATGGGAGCAAGTGATGGCTTCCTTTTCTCAGCCATTTGGCCAAAAATACCTCGCAACGTGTCACTGCAAATTCTGTGAACCTAGGTTTGTCTGTATACGTATAATTCACTCAAAATGTAAGCTGTTGTCATTTCCTCATCCCACCTGTTTCTTTCTGCTGCTAAACAAAAATTACATTTATATAAAAAACTTTTTTGTTTCCATCATTTCTCCTTTTGTGTTCAGCAGGAGAAAGAAACTCATCCAGGTTTGAATCAAATGTACGATGGGCAAAAAAATGTGTTTTCATTTTTGGGTGAACTATCTCTTTTACCTTTATTTATGCTGTGGTTAAGTTCTTGTGGTATCTGATTTTTGACTCTTGTTACAGGGTTGCCCAGAAGCACAGGGAGTTAGCATCCATACTGAATTCCAGCAGAAAGATCTGTTGTCTTCGTAATAAGCGTGCTTTTTTCATGGACTACCTGCCCACTCTGCGATCAATCTGTCGATCAGAGAGAATTAAAGGACAGCACTCGATTAGGTATTTTTTTTGATCATCATACATGGTTAATATACAGTCAAGTATGTGTACAGTAGTATTTTGTGCACTTCTTTTCATAGAACAATATTGCAAATACTTAATATTTTGTACAAATCAATGTTTTTTCACTATGCAAGATTTGTTTTTAAATAATATTGTTCACTGTTAGCGCATGTTATCCAATGCATTAACTAATGTTTTCAAAGGAGACCATGTTGAGGGCTGGTGCTTTGTTATAAATAAGTGATTTTATTTCCTTTTTACAATCGTGTATTTGTTCAAGCAATGTTTTCTTTTTTCTCTCTCTCTCTCTCTCTCTCTCTCTCTCTCTCTCTCTCTCTCTCTCTCTCTCTTTGTCCTGTCAGACGTTCACACTACCTCTCAAGCCTTCACCTACCCAGAAGCACTTTAGAACTTATGGCACTGGATTTCCCTTGATGTGACTGAGCTGGTGCAGTAAATTTTCTTCAACTTTTGCGTGGTTTTCTGTAAAGTTAAAGGGATGTGAACTTTCAGTTTTTTATGTTTCAGAAATATTTTATTTAAAGACTTGTAAAAGACTGTTTATGGCATCTTTGTGTTTACAAAAAGCCAAATGATGAAACTATTAACTGTTTTTGTTTTCCGCAAAGAGCACATCCTATACACTGGAAAACAGTTAAGTTTGCTTTAAAGTGAGTAACCCCATTGCTTTTAAAGCGATTTAGTTGATTGTGTGCATAATTATAAAAACATACAAGTTACAACAGGGTTACTCGCTTTTGTTATGGAGCAGGCCAGTTGCATCCATCTAACCCCATTTCAGATATTTTGAGGAAAGCCTAAAAATGAAGAGTAGAACGTGTAATAGCTGCAAAAGGTAAAATCAACTCCTCCTTGTATTTAGAACGTGAGGTCATTACAATCCTCATTAGTCAGGTGTCGACCTTGTCCATATATGTTTGTGTTCGTATGTAAACTCTTGGATGTTTGTTTGTTGGTGTTGAGTATTGAGTATTCAATGTTTAAACACTGCAGCTCTATTTATATTCTCATGAATTAAATAAAATGACTTTGAACAGATACTTTAATCCAAGGGGCAGTACACATTCCCTTTAAGCAGCAACAAAGGGTTAAGGGCCTTTCTCAAATTTCCAACGATGACAGCTTAATCTTTGTGGGGTTTAAATTAGCACCCTTAAGATAAACATTTAGCTTCCAACCCAGAGCAAGGTCTCTTAATAGAAAAAGACAGTTAGGCTTGTTGTATAAAACTAAGTGCCACCTTTGAATAGGGCTGTAATGACATGTAAAATACCATGTTGTTGCCATTTAACGTTTAAAGCCTGACTATGTTCCAGTTTAACACCCGGGTAAATCAATAAAGTCTTGGGTAATGAATTAGAAAAGTATTGCGTAATGTTTTACTCAATGGCTGAAGGAACTTCCTAGCACTCAGCTGATCAAGTCCAAAATAAGTCAAACAGTCATCTGGTGGTGATTCACTCCTGCAGGAGCTCAAAAAATGCAACAGCTTGCAGTAGAGCATCACACATCTCTTCCCCTTTATTCCTACTACTCATCTGAAAGGAGTTCCTGTGCTTTAAAACCAGGTCATGAGGGAAAAGAACACGTGGGTCTCGCTTCATCACCGAATCCGTCATCATCTTTCTCAGTGTCTCAGCTCCACTTGTCCGACAGTCTCCCACCATTAGGTCAAAATGGCGACCAACGGATATGCGCATCATGTTAAGGACTTTAGGGGGGCTTCCTGGTTCCCTGGCTTGAGAGAGTAAAGCAAATAGCATGGCCTCTACTGTGCGGAGATGGACCATGACTGGAAATAAAGATGTATTCTGAGGAGAGATACTTGGCTTTTCCACTAAAAAGAAGTCAGCAGCAGGAAAGCTTGAAATAACTGAAGAAATCTAGAGTAGACAAAGAATATACACGGTAATTTTAAGAGGTTATCCCAGTGCACATTCACTAAATAGAAGTAGAAATCAATATTATGACAAGGTAAACCACAACTCTTGAGGTAACACTATTTTGATGGTCCATTTGAGTATTAGTGCATAGACTGTCTGCTTAATATGTTGATACTGCTCCAACAGACATTTCACTCACTATAAGAAATTTTGCAGGTACATGTCAACTTAGAATAACTTTAAACCCAACCCTAACCCCACCTAACAGTCTACTTATAACCTAATGAGAATTAGTTGTCATGTAGATGCAATGTAACTTAAATTCAACAAATGGACCATCAAAATAAAGTTTGACCACTTAGACATGGAATGTCAAATTAAATTCCTGGAAAACCGTTCCAACGCTGCTCCAACACATTTAAGCTGCGGTCACACAAGTGTTTGTGCGAAATTTGGTTGTAAGGCACTACAAAAAGGGGCGGGATTAAACAAGATTATTAGACATTAAAAAAGTGAGTGATTTAAATTTCTGTCCAGAGAGGTCGTGTTTTGATCCTCAATTGGTCTCACGCAGTCAAGTGATGCGATTTCGCAGGTCAGAGTTCACCAAGCTTAAAAAAAAAAAAAAAAAAGTTCACCAAGCTTGAACTTTGCACCACAGCTGACTGCAAAACTTAACGCATGAACCTGTGTTTCTAGTCTGACGCATTCACGCGCGTATGAATAGAAGTCTATGGGGAAAAGACCAGTGTGACCGCAGCTTTACCTGAAGGTTTCAAACAAGCTTGAAAGACTCAATTAGTTTGATCAGGTATGTTTAATTAGGGTTGGAACTAAACTGTTCAGGGCTGCAGCCCTCCAGGAATTGAGTTTGACATTCCTGACTTAGACATTTTGGCACATATAATTCTAATTATTTGTTTATCAAGATGGGAAATTACGATCAAAATGGATACAATTTTGAAAAAAACTGAACCTAAAATGTTTATCAAAAAAAATTGTGTTCTGCAGTAAACAAACAAACAAAAAACAAATACAAGATTGGTCTAGCGTGAGGATAAGGACATACTTCTAACCCTTTAATGAAAGCACATTATTAAAAATTATTCAATCACAGATCATTTTCATGCATTTTTTTAACATCAAAATGTCAGAAGAGTCAATATTTGATTTCTCTGTTGAAGCAAGATCTAATGCAATTTTTTTGTCCACATAAAACTGATGCACAGAACCAAGTCTCCATCTTACAATTTGTTTATTTTTTATTTTCCAAGACGTGACCTTAAAGTCTCCATGAACCGGAAGCTTCGTTCGTTATTTATTTTATATTGTGAGTTGTAAATGACCAAACAGTGGAGGTGGATTTTTTTTTCTACCGCAGGCTTATTGTATGCTGTAAAGAAGGCCTTTCATTCAGAAAGATCAGGAAAGAGGCTTTAGATAAGTTATTACAACCTAACAGACTCCTCCTGCTCACCATATCGGTTTGTTGTCAAAACTGACAGTTGAACCAGTGTGGTTAAGTATGTTAGCACACCCATTACCTCAAAATCAAGTAATCTGATAATTTAACTGAAAACAAACAGGAAGTGCATTTTGAGATTTCAATTAAAGAATAGAAGGGCAAACAGTTTTCTTAATGAAATGCACCGATGAATTGTTCACACACAAAACTGGCAAAGTGAGCTAACTAAATTGTAGGGTTAGTTTTGATTTCTTGGAGACTTTAATAAGGGAAAGGATTTCTCATTACTTTTAGTTTTATTGCAAAACACACACAATTAAATCGTTTTAAATATCAATCACTAATTCAAGTTCTTCAATCCTCAAGGATTGCAGGTTTACCTTCTCAGAACTAAATATTTAAACTCAATTAATATTAGAAACTTACATCTTCCAAATAATCAGATGCCAGATACGTGCCTTTCATAAAACTCTGGCACTCTGCTTGCTGCCAGTCGAGGACAGTTCTTGCCCGGTCCATGTGGGCCCAAGCAATTTTGTTTGTGCCACAAACAATGGATATGATAGAGCTTGCATCCTGCAAGATATCCAAGAACAAAACATAGCACAACATACATAGTTCATTCACAGAAGAAGTTCTAAACACAAATTTGCCCTACCTCCAAGTGAGCTCGATTAACATCTGGTTTTATAAATTTAGCCAGATGGACTTTCCCCTTGTTCCTCTTCCTTTTGTTATCTGGATTAAGAATGGAGTCGAACACCATGACGGCGCTCTTGTATTTCAGTAAGGGCACGTTAATGACACTCTCCAGACTGCTGAATGGTCCATGTCTGGTCCTGTACTTGACAATGTTGACCGATTTCCGTCCTCGCAGCAATTTAACCTGTTCCAGTTCTGACTCTGTGGCTGTATTGAGACGCTGGAGGATGACTGCACGTTGCTCTTCAGTGTAACATGAGTCCAGGGCTTTGGCATTTTCTTGTCTCAATTCAGGGGAAATGGATGCATTCGAGCTATCAAACTCTGAAAACATTATTTTGCTACTTCTACAACAGGTGAAGTGCAAGAATCGGAGTGCATAGTCAGGCAAGGAGCTTGGAGGAGGACGACTGAACAGACTGTAATGTCCTGCAATCAATCAAACATTTAATGGATTTAATCAAACAAGCGTACAAGACAAAACCATCAACATATCACATCACACATATTGCATTTTGTTCTATAGATTGCTGTATGGGTGTAAAAATACATTAATATGGATTGATCAAATGACTAACGATATGATGTATTGATTATTTGCATAATAAGCGGATACCTCCATATTTTTAAAGACGCATTTTTCTGTACTTTGTTTTTGGTAACACTACAATAACACGAATAATGATGTATTAAAATGTAAACCAAAAAATACTTTATTATGAATTAATAATGAGTTAATACATGCACTAAATTATGAAATAACTTTAACTACAACATAAGTCACAAGAGTTCATGTGTGAATAATGTCTACCTCAATTTCTTGTTAGTACATGTTGTTAATTAACATTTGAGTTTAAGCTAAATGTAACCAACATGAACTCATGAGCTGTTAATGTATAGATATGTCATGACTGGGCCCACACGGAATCTGCGCGCGCAGGTTTCTAGCCCATCATTGATTCTGTTTATTTGCTTGTGTAAAATGTGTGTACATTTATATTTATTCAATTTTCAAATTAATTTTAGCACAATTATTGACTAATATGAACATGTTCATATAATTTATTTACAATATAGTTTGTAAAGTAATATTTTCTGTCTTTTAGTAGATATATAGAATACTTGCTTTGTTTACCAAATAAAGTGGATCTAATTTGATTTGCATTGTAAACATTAAATACAAGTACAAAAGATATTACTTTGTAGTTCATATAGTAGGGTTTTATTTATGATACTCCCAAAATCATTCTGCATAAATCCGCAGATTTTTAACAAAATTCTGCGAAGAAATAGCAAAAAATTAATAGAATAGAATAGAAAAAACTTCTGTCTGTCCCCAATCATGACTTTACTAGGAGGGGCACATCACTATTAACTACTCACAAACTCCTGTTTAAACTGTTCATGTCATATGGTTCATGTTGACAACACTTTTCTATTGTTATTCACTGTAAATGAACTAGATGGATGTGCATAAGGAGTTCATGAGAAGTTAGTAGAATGGTAAAGTCACGATAAAATCCGATAAGAGTTCATGATGGTTAAATTAAGCATACTTATGTGGTACAATCATACACTAACAAGTAATTAAGGTATGTGACGTAGTTAAAGTTAGTTCATGATTAGCACATGCATAGACTAATCATTAGTTCATAATACAGCAATGTTTAGTTTACATATTATCACATCATTATTATATACTGTTATTGTAAAGTGTTACCCTTGATGTTGTGGACGACTTTGTCAGTTCATAAAAATGACAATATCTTAAAACTGATATTGATCTGCTGGAATCGAAATTGTATCCGAAAATTTTTTAGAGAGCTATTGTGTCACTGTAGAGTACATATTATATCGTAAGACATCATACCGATAGAAAGTAGCTATACAGTAATAAACAGAAATACAAGGCCAATGTTGCAAAGTTTGCAGAAAACTCCATTTCCTTAACCTCCAATTTTCAACCCTGCATGAGTTTCTTGCTTGTGCTGAAGATAAAATAAGACTTGATGGTCCTTGTATTCTTTCCCTACTAACGTTATGTATATCCAACATTAACAACATTGTTAGGTATATATTATCTAAAGTTGAGAAATGAACTCAAGCAGGTTGGCAGATTAGAAAACAATGACAGAATATACGAGCAAGATTATTCATATAGAACTATTCAAAAAGCTATTACTTGCATCTATGCTTGCATCTGCTGTTACCTTTGAGGACGACAGAGGACAGAATACCTTTCACGATCCACATATTTAATCGCCACACACTAGTGTTCGCTTTACATATGGGTATGCCCTACGCTCGTTGGGTTGTTGCCTTCAGTGGCCCGAGGTTGTGTTCTCGTGTGGAAACATGGCGTTTGTAACTGGTTCCGACTATATACAAGACGGGACAAAACGGCCTGCCTGGAGTTTCACTTTCGATCCCGAGAAGAATTTTTGACGTGATGTCGCCATTATATGAGGATATTGTGAAGTTTGTCGCGAATAATCTTAAATGCGAAATATGTTTTAATATTTTCACAAAACCCGTTACACTAGTTTGTGGCCATAACTATTGTCACACGTGCATAAAAGAATGCTGGGCTAAAAGCGTGAAAAGAGATTGTCCACATTGCCGGAAAGAAATAAACAGCAGTGCATTAGAGATTAATTTTACTCTATGCGACATTCTGGAGTTACAGGAGCTTGGTGGTCGGACATTCTGGGATATTCTGGCTGAAACAGACCAAGATCATAAAACCCAACATGCTGGGAGAGCAATTACAAAAGTGGCAAGTTCATGGTTTTAATCTTTAAAAGTTTATCTCAAACAGCCTAATAATGAAGCAAAAAAATGATGATTGAAATAACTGCTAGTCTAATATACCAGTGTCACCAAATGGGCCACTGCCCTGCAGAATTTATCTAAACCATAATCAAACTTACAAGGTATTCTTGAAACTTCCAAGCAGGTGTGTTCAAGTGAGTTGAAGCTAAACTCTGCAGGAACACTGGCCCTTCAGCACTGAGATTGGTGACCCCTGCCTTACACTGTAAGTTATTTAACCGCAACTTAAAGGCTACTAGTTGAATTACTTTCACAGTGAGTTGTTTTACAGTAAATTACTATCAAAAGTAGTTAGTTTAGTTAGTTGGTTCATAGTTATTTTAAAAGCAAGTTATTGTATCATTTATAAAATAAATAACTGAAATGACAGCCATATAATTTGACTTACAGTAAATATGCCATTACTGTGATTTAATTGTAGGATGCTGTCGAAATAATGTATTCATCTGTATAGTTACAGTTATTAAGCTTAGTATCAAATTTTCACACTGTAAATTCTGTAAACACTGTTAGATGTAAAAAAAAAAAGGTTACTTCAAAAGGTATAATCAGAAAATGTTTATAAAGTGTATGCATGAATATGAAGCACAATAGATAACACTTTACGATAAAGTATCATTACTTACAACTACGATTACTGAGCCTTATTACACGGTATCAGTGAACAACATGCCTATAAACAGTCAAAATATTTCAGCAAGTAGTAGGCCAAAAGATTTACATGTTAAACTTTTTTTATATATATTTGAACTATTAAGATAACCAATTATGTTTTCAATCATTTCACTAATATGAAAACCACTGCAAAAACATTGTGAATATTCTAAAAAGCACTTTAAAAGTTTAAATATTAGTAATTATTCACAACATTTTTTGGCCCCACAATATTAATGTGCATGTTCATTGTCATCATATATTGAATTACTTAGTATCAGCAAATACATATTACATCAGATTACTGCAGTTTAACAGTTGCTGTAGAATTTCAAAGCAAATTCTAAAGTAATCGTTCACCCAAAAATTACAATTCTGCCATCATTTCCTCATGCTGTTTAAATCTTGTATGCATTTGTTTGGTTTTCTGAACACAAAGGGAAATAACTGGAAGATCTCCTCATTTGCCACCTTTAGAAAAGAAATACTACCACAGTAATCAATCTGTCTAGTCTGAAAGGTGATACAGATCTGAGTTGATACATTCTGGTTATCAGCAAAAAGATCATTCTTTCTTTCTTTTATACATTTTCCTTTTTATATACAAGTTTGATCCCTACCTTAAAAGCCAGATAATACCAGTCAAAAGACTATGCTGGGAAACCCTCTCTTAACACAAATAAGACAAAAAAGCAACATAGAATAGAACATAGAAAGTGTGCCTTTTCATTTAAAATAGGTATGGGTCTGTATATGATTCTGATGGTATGATAACCTTGGATAGAAATAATACGGTTTCATGGTATTGTGATTACTTCTCTGAAAAAAAGTTATTTTTAATGTCTGGGTAAAAAAAAAAAACTTTTATCCCCCATTGAACACAATAAATTTTATTTTACAAAACATTTAAAATTTTTAGACCAGTAGCTTTTGATGTAGAGGTTCTTTTTCTGCTGGAGATAATTATTCATTCATTCATTCATTCATTCATTCATTCATTCATTCATTCATTCATTCATTCATTCATTCATTTACTTTTCAGCTAAGTCCCTTTATTTATCTGGGGTAAATAATATATGTGTGTGTGTGTGTGTTTGTTATACCTTAAGAACGGTATAACAGAAAAATTTGTCGGTTTTAAAACATTGACTTATCCAAACCACGGTAAACCTTAAGACTGGTTATTAGTTATGTATTATATTTTGGAATATACCAAGTTATTATTGACATGTACACTGTGCTATTCTCACCTGCTCATTAGGACAGTCTAATAAAACGTCTGGATTGGTTAAAAGCTGAGATCAGAAAAACAGAAGACATGCTTTCAGAAGAACTAGACTCAAAGAAGGATTACAAGGTAATGTTTTTACCACATGAAAATGTGCATACAGTTTGTATACAACGGGAAATACACGTTTAGAAAATAATAAATAATTTTGAATCATTCTCAGGATGGGTGTGATACTGTTCAGATGGATAGATCAACTATAGACAGTTATCCTACTTCAAGCTGCTATGCTGACAGAATTTATAGTCTGACATCACAGGAACGGTCGGAGGAGGTATCTGAAGATAATTACCACTGTAACTGAGGCTCTTCTTAAGTTCCTTTTTCGAATACTTTACTGATATTTGCTTACAACTTACTTCTTCGATGGTTATATTTAAGGTGAATTTAAGCTGTTGCTGACAGATTTTTTTTTTTTTAAATAATTGAGAATAATTCATAAATACATGTCACTCTTTGATTGGATGAAAATCTCTGATGGGATGGTGCTAAATGATTGACAGGCAAAAAGTTCCTCGATTGTCCTTTAATTAGCTAAATGCCTCTTTTATTCTATCCATATTTTTGTGAGTAATCTCTGCACAGTAATTTCAGTAATGTATATCAGTAAGTAAGGTGATTTTATGTATAGCATTAAATAAAAGTCCATGTTTTGGTAAGGGATTAAGGCGTTTTTTTTTTTTTAATTGCTGTAATGAAAAAATGCTGAGAAACATACAGTGACTTTCACTTTCATGGAAATGGGCTTCTTATCAAAACCATGATCTGCCCTAGGAAGGTTCACTGGAGTTTGTAGAGGTGGATCCAGAAAATTCAAACACTCTTGAAGATGCTCATCTCACTCCCAGTGCAGAAGCTCAGCAGCAGAGCAGCAGAGCTGAGGGTAAGGTTTGTGTTCTAACTGTCATTTTCTTGCATTTGTATCTTTATGATATTTAAATTATGATATCATATATGCTCTTTCTTCCAGCTGCTCTTCCTGCAAAGTTTGTTGATCTTTCCTTCTGTCCTGAACTGGGAAACAAGCGGCTCATTTTTTGTCCAGAGAAACGCAGTTTGGCAACACGCCTGGGGCACCAAGGAAGAACTACGCATGGTCGTTTCGATGCCTGTCAGTGGATGGCGAATCAGGAATTAGGAGGAGGATGCTTTTATTGGGATGTGGACACAACACACTGCACTGGATGGGCTGTTGGGGTGGCATATTCCAGTCTGATGCGTAGGGATAGGTTGGGAAGAACTTCCTCATCTTGGTGTTTGGAGTGGAGCAGCGGGCAACTGGGTGCTTGGCACAATGATTTAAAGACTTCTGTTAAGCATCGTGTTCCTAGTAATGTGCGAGTAATTCTGGACATGGCTAAAGGAAAGCTGTACTTTCAGAGTTTGTGTGAAAACCTGCTTGAATTGCACTGTTTTAAGGTCAGTTTTTCTCACCCTGTCAGACCTGTCTTCTGGCTGTATGGGTTAACACAAAACACCTTATCCTTTCCTAAACATTGAATGTTGGATAAAGGATAATAGATTGGAATAGTTTGTAGTAGTTATGCACTTCATTATTTCAGAATATTTTGTTGAAATCAGAATTATTAGCCCCTCTTTGATTTTTTGATTTTTTTTTTTAAATTTGCCAAATTATGTTTATTAAAGCAAGGACATTTTCACAGTATGTCTGATAATATTTTTTTTCTTCTGGAGAAAGTATTTGTTTAATTTGGGCTAGAATAAATGCAGTTTTTTATATTTTAAAAACCGTTTTAAGGTCAAAGTTATTAGCCCCTTTAAGCTATTTTTTTGACAGTGTACAGAACAAACCATCATTATACAATAACTTGCCTAATTATTAGCCCCCCTGTTTATTTTTTCCCCAATTTCTGTTTATCGAAAAGCTTTTTTCAACACATTTCTTAACATAATAATTTTAATAACTAATTTCTAATAACTGATTTATTTTATTTTTTGCCATGATGACAGTAAATGATATTTTACTAGATATTTTTCGAGACGCTTCTATTCAGTTTAAAGTGGCCTTTAAAGGCTAGGTTAACTAGGTTAATTAGGTTAACTAGGCAGGTAAGGGTAATTAGGCAAGTAACTGTATAATGATGGTTTGTTCTGCAGACTATCGAATAAAATCTAGTTTAAAAGGGCTAATAATTTTGACCTTAAAATGTTTTTTAAAAAATTAGAAACTACTTTTATTCTTGCTGAAATAAAACAAATAAGACTTTCTCTAAAAGAAGAAATATTATTAGACATACTGTGAAAATTTCCTTGCTCTGTTAAACATAATTTAGGAAATATTTAGGAATTTTAAAAAAATAAAAGGGGGGCTAATAATTTTGACTTCAACTGTAAATTAACTGTTTTAGTTGCTTTCTGTTTTTAGACTATTTTTTTAAATCACTTTTATATGAATTTTAATTTCTTTGTCTAGCACCATAAAGATAGGTTTGCTTTTCTGTGTATGTAAAATTTGTGTGATAATAGAATAAAGTTTATAATAAAACCAGGATCTTTTAAAGAGTGATCGATCCTTAACATAATCACCCAAAATAACGTTTATAAGATAAGGAACATATTTGTAAATATTATAAGCAATGAAAGCTTCTACATTCATCCAAAAAGGTTGAGAATATTGGCAGGACCAAAATAAACGTGAAATAGTTTCATTAAAGCATTCACAAAACAGCATTTTAACTCAATATCAATTTTATATTTTTGTAGAAATGTTTTTGTAGGGTAAATTAATAAAAATTATAGTTCTTTAGCCTTATTTGTAATGGAAAATTGCATTACATAAAATTAGTAAATTCCTGTTATGTAATAGGTATCTTGCCATAAAGTCTAAATTTAAATAATGTCCCTTAAATATCAGCTCATCGCTAAACAAATTGTAAATAAAAATTTTATTCATTTTTGTACAAGATATTGCTATTCAGAATCAGTTTTTTTTCAAAGAACTTTTGTCAGCATTCCATCAATTAGTTAGTTTGTGTGTTAAATCAACAAAAATAGACTGGGCTTATAGAAATACCTTCTGCTTTAAGGAGCTCTTCGTAGCCAATGGTACCTTTTGTGTTTTTTCAGTGATTGGAAGAAAATTGATAAATCTTTAATTATTTTATTTCCCAGTTACTGTATGTCACACTCTCTCTCTCTCTCTCACGGGAATATTACAAATTAAAAATTTAAAAAAAATTACCCACTGGCAATAATACACATTTCTTTATGTTAAAGTAAAAACCTGAGACTTTAAAAAAGGGTTCAAGTGTCTTTGTGAAGCGCCCTTCAAAAACAAAACAGTATCATCCGCTGACTGCCTTTTTACCACTTCAGTGTTTTCAATAGACATTGAGGGCCGCTTTTCTGGACTGTTTTAAGAAACTTCTCAAGACTCAGCTTTTTACCATTGTTTTTAACTTCGATTGATTATTTTTGTCAATTTAATCATTCAATTTTATTGTTCATATCTTATTGTCTTATTGTGATGTTTTTACTGTTTTTTTATTGTTCTGCTTTCTTACTGTATGCCTTGTAGCGCTTTGGGTCTGAGAAAAGCGCACTATAAATAAAATTTTATATAATAATAATTCATTCATTCATTTTCTCTTCGGCTAAGTCCCTTTGTTAATCTAGGGTTGCCACAGTGGAATGAACCACCAACTTATCCAGCATTTGTTTTAAGCAGCGAATGCCCTTCCAGCTGCAACCCATCACTGGAAAACATCCATACACATACATACAATATGGACAATTAGGCCTAGCCAATTCACCTACAGTATACCACATGTCTTTGACCTTGTGGGGGAGCACCCTGAGAAAACACACACGAACATGGAGAGAACATGCAAACTCCACACAAAAGTGCCAACTGACCCAGCCGGGGCTCGAGCCAGTGACCTTCTTGCTGTGAGAAAATTTTTTCTAAAAAAGTCATTACATAGTACGGATTAAGGATCCCAGCTTAATGAGGCCATCTATCCAATCTATTATTCAGGACGACATGAAATCACCACCAAAGATTAGAGAAGACTTAAAATATATGGTTAACATGAATCACCCGATCACCTAATTTATCAAAAAGATCATTCATTCATGAATTTTCTTGTCGGCTTCTCCCTTTATCGATCCGGGGTCGCCACAGCGGAATGAACCGCCTACTTATCCAGCAAGTTTTTACGCAGCGGATGCCCTTCCAGCCACAACCCATCTCTGGGAAATCAAAAAGATCAAAAAGTTAAAATTGTAGTTTACATTTAAAATTCCAAGGGCAAGTAAAATGTAGTGTTGAGACATATCACATTCAGATCTTAAGAATTTCCATTTAAATCATTTTTTAAGTATAAACCCCAGCAGAATTAGTAATGCCATGTGATGACCACAGTCCCCACTGCAGCCTCCAAAATTGTACCTGACAAAAGTCTTGTTGTCAATCCCAGTTGTAAAAACAACAATTAATAACTTGACTTCTAATTGGAAAAGTGGCAGAAGGAGGATTTTTTAGATGAATCATCTGTTGAACTGCATCCAAATCATCACAGATACCGCAGCAGACCTGCATGGAACCCTCACGGACCCATGCAAGAATCTTACAGAAATCAGTCAAGTTTGGTGAAGGAAAAATTGGTGTATAGGTTTGGGGTTACATTCAGTATGGGGGCGTGCAAGAGATCTGCAGAGTGGATGGTAACATCAACAGCTTGAGGTATCAAGACATTTGTTCTGCGCATTACGTTACAAACCACAGGAGAGGGCAAATTCTTCAACAGGATAGCGTTCCTTCTCATACTTCAGCTTCCACATCAAGCAAAGAAGGTCAAGGTGCTTCAGGATTGGCCAGCCCAGTCACCAGACATGAACATTATTGAGCATATCTGGGGTAAGATGAAAGCGGAGGCATTAAAGATGAATCCAAAGAATCTTGATGAACTCTGGGAGTCCTGCAAGAAAACTTTCTTTGCCATTCCAAATGACTTTATTAATGAGTTCTCTTGATCATCATGATTCCACTGCCTTCTCTGCAGACTATCTACCATTGCGGAGTCCACAAGAGAGCTGCCTCCATCCTGAAAGACCCCACGCACCCACAACACAGAATATTCACACTCCTTCCCTCAGGGCAGTGGTAGGAATGTTAGACGCATGGCTGCCAGACTCAAGAACTCTTTTTTTTTCCTCATCAGCTATCAGACTTCTAAATGGATAGCCAGTGAACATAAGCTGTTTCCTTTTTTGCTCAATAGCACATTATATTCTTTGTCCCAGTTTGCACTATTAATGTGTGCAATTACACTCAATCTGTGCCAGCCAATTGCACTAGGCACTTTTTGCATACTAAACACAATTTTAAACAACTATTATACGTTGTTTACATCTGTTTACAATACTCCACATGAGCATATTTTATTTTGGTAAAATAAGTGTAATCTAGGGGCCTTTGCCTTTTTATAAGCCATTTCTGATACCAAATGATCAACTAGAAGTCAAGTTGTTATTTTTTGTTCCTAAAACTAGGCAAAAATAGGCGACAAGAATAGGCGACAAGACTTATGTCAGGAAGTGTACATCTTAAGTGACAGAATGGCATTCTTGTAGAAAACAAAAATCTGCATTAAAGCTCTTCAAGTACAAGAAAATAGTTTTCCTCTTAGTAATGTTGCATAACCCTCTTCAATTAAGAGAAACAAAAGATAAAGACATAGAACAAGAGTCATTCATTCATTCATTTTCCTTCAGCTTAGTCTCAAATACAGAGGTTGCCACAGCGGTTGCAGCATGTAAAAATTTGTAAAACAGAAAAAAATACCAGTCTCGGTCTTTCACCTCTTTAACCAGCCTAAAGAAAACCAAGCCTACTGTAGCCTTTCTTTATCATTCTAAAGAGAGAAAATATGTATTGTTGTTTCAGTTTTGTTACAGTATTTTGTAAAATTATTAAATAAAACTACTAATAATGTTGGCTTAATCAATCTCCGAGTTTTGGGTGCACCTTGATGAACTGACTTTCAACTGTCGAAAACTGTTTTCCTATGGTTTTCCTCCGTAGTTTGTCCCTCTGTGAAACCCGTAGACATGTTGGAGGTCAGAGGGAGGTGTGTGTGTGTTACATCAAACCAGATAACGACAGCCGCTAAATCTCCATCACATTGAGAAATCATATAAAGCTTTATTTTTTTTAAATATATTTATATATATATTTTAAGTCAGGGTCTAGTCGTTTTGTTTGTTTATTATGAAAATGTTATTTAATGTAGTTAGTTGTGCATTGCTGTGAACGTCTATACATATTTGAAAATTATTATTGGGTAAATGTGATCTGTCTTCAGAAGTGGAAAACATGCGAAAGGACGTGAGGATTTTGCTGGTTGGAGAACGTAAGTTTTTTGTTATTAACGGAATCCTTGTTTTTATGTAACAAAATGACCATTACTAAAATAATTGAGCCTTATATTAATCAACGTCTTATTCTACTGTTTATCGATTAAAATTGTTGCATTGTCCACACCACGTTAAGGGTTACTGTCACTGCATTGTGATCTTTGTCCTGTTCTTTATTCTTGAAACGACAGCACATTGCATCCCGACTGAAAACAATTGGTTAGGTTTATTTATTACAATATGGTGAATGTATGTTATGCCTAACT